CAGGCTCCCCGCGCATGTGGGCTCCCGGGTTGACGGCCCGGTCCCACGCAGGCTCCCGGGTTGACGGCCCGGTCCCACGCAGGCTCCCCGCACACGTGGGCTCCTGGGGAGCCGCCTGTCACCTGCGTGGAACCACCGACCTTTCCAGCAGCTCCACGGTTCCCGCATTCAACTCATTGTAACTTTCCTGTCTCTCCCACGCCCAGGTGGAGTGTAATTCCAAACTGGACCCCACGCAGACCTCCTTCCTCAAGGTGAGTGCTGGCCCCCCCCGCCAGCCCTGCCGGCACCCCTCACTCCCGACCCACAGCCCCTGCCAGCCCAGCTGGTGCCCCTCCTTTCACTGAGGGTTGGCCCCCCACGCAGACCTCCTTCCTCAAGGTGAGTGCTGGCCCCCCCCGCCAGCCCTGCCGGCACCCCTCACTCCCGACCCACAGCCCCTGCCAGCCCAGCTGGTGCCCCTCCTTTCACTGAGGGTTGGCTTTGTTTTCCAGATGGCAGATTCCGGGGGGCAGCCCCAGCTGACTCAGGTGAGAGCTGTTTTCCCAATAGCTTTTGGGAGGAGGGCCCAGGGCACTGCAGGGGGGCAGGGATTGTGGGGTGCAGAGTAGCACAGGGGGTGGGGAAACGTGCTGGGGGAGGCTCAGCAAAGCTGAGGGTACTCTGGGGGTGCAGCCGGGATATATGGGGTGAGCACTGCTGTGGGGCCAGCTGGGTGTGTAAGGGAGGGTTGTGAGCTGGGGGTGCAGCGTGGCTCACAGCCATGGGGTGCGGCCGGGGGGTCCCGGGTGCAGGGTGCGCGTCTGATCTTTCTCTTGCCCCATCTCAGCCTGGGAAGCTGACGGAGGCCTTCAAGTACTTCGTGCAGGGCATGGGATACAGTGAGTAGCCGACGGGGGTCCCGATCCCCCAGCCCTGCCCTCACCCCCTAGCTGGGCCAGTCCCTGAAATGTCTCTCTCTCTGTCTCTCTCAGTCCCCTACGTCCTGGACAGGAAACTGAGTATGGGGTCAGGTACCTCCCCTGCTCCCCCCCCACACAGCCTGCACTGCCCCCATGCACCTCACACACCCTGCACCAGCTCCCCCTGCACACATACCCATCCGAGCATGGGGCTCCCCCCCCCCCCCCCGCACCTCCCCCCCCCCCCCCCGCACCTCCCCCCCCCCCCCCCGCACCTCCCCCCCCCCCCCCCGCACCTCCCCCCCCCCCCCCCGCACCTCCCCCCCCCCCCCCCGCACCTCCCCCCCCCCCCCCCGCACCTCCCCCCCCCCCCCCCGCACCTCCCCCCCCCCCCCCCGCACCTCCCCCCCCCCCCCCCGCACCTCCCCCCCCCCCCCCCGCACCTCCCCCCCCCCCCCCCGCACCTCCCCCCCCCCCCCCCGCACCTCCCCCCCCCCCCCCCGCACCTCCCCCCCCCCCCCCCGCACCTCCCCCCCCCCCCCCCGCACCTCCCCCCCCCCCCCCCGCACCTCCCCCCCCCCCCCCCGCACCTCCCCCCCCCCCCCCCGCACCTCCCCCCCCCCCCCCCGCACCTCCCCCCCCCCCCCCCGCACCTCCCCCCCCCCCCCCCGCACCTCCCCCCCCCCCCCAGCCTCCCCTGCCCCCATGCACCTCACACACCCTGCACCAGCTCCCCCTGCACACACACCCATCCGAGCATGGGGACCTCCCTCCCGCATTGCTGGGCTGTGCCCCAGCCCACCCCACACTCCACAGCTTGTTGAGACGCACAAGTACAAATTGGGGGTGGGGCCTGTGGCTGGCGGTGTGGGCGGGGCCAATCTGACTCCGCCCTTCTGTCTCCCTGCAGTGGCCTCCTCCTGCATGACGCGCCTGTCGCGCTCCCGC